CCACCCACACACACACGCACAGACACACACACAGTGATACACACACACACACACACACACTCACACACACACTCAGTGATGCACAATCACACACACACACACACACACACACACTCGTACATTCATACACACTGGTATAGTATACATGGTCAGTTACACATGCACAAACACACATATTTTCATACACAAATACACATGCACACATAAACACACACACACTCACAGACACACACACACTGATGCACAATCACACACACACACACACACACACACACACACACACACACACCTGGAGAGACAAGAAATATTTTATACACACACAAGGAGCAGACAGGGCCACACACACACACACACACACACCTGGAGAGCCAAGGCTTATTTTCTACACAGACAAGGAGCAGACAGGGCAGAACTGAATCCCAAGGCCGACCCAGCCAAAACTCAACCCTTGTTTTTTTGTTGTTGTTGTTTTGCTTTTTGTGATCAGAGAATCCAAATACAGCCTCAGATTATAAAGACAATCTTAAGTCCACCTGCTTGAGAAAAAAAAAAAAAAAAACAGAAAAAGCTGGGCGTTGGTGGCGCATGCCTTTAATCCGGGGGAAAAAAAAAAAACAGAAAAAGCTGGGCGTTGGTGGCGCATGCCTTTAATCACAGCACTCAGGAGGCAGAGGCAGGCAGATCTCTGTGAGTTCGAGACCAGTCTAGTCTCCAGAGCGAGTGCCAGGATAGGCTCCAAAGCTACACAGAGAAACCCTGTCTCGCAAAACCAAAAAAAAAAAAAAAAAAAAAGACAAAAAAAAGAGCCAGGGAAGATGCCAGATCATGAACACAGATGCTACAGTCAATGTTGTAAGTTCTAGGCTTACAGCCATTTACACAAATGCTCAAACGCACACAGCACACAGATGCTCACACACATGATTAGATGCCCCAGTCCACACCTAAATGACACGAGGCCACAGCCCACCAGGGGGATGACAAACAGACACAGGATGATTTTCCAGTTCTTCGTGTCTCGGGAAATCTCTCCATACCATTGCTTAGAAAGAAAGTTCTAGGAGGAAGTGGAGACAGAGAACAGTCAGTGATAGGGACACGGTAATTCTTCCCAGCCCCTTGCACTCCCGAAATATTTAACCCCTAGAGTAATCTCTTTATTTTTCAGATGTTGTCTGGATTCTAAGGCGTGAAGAAGCAACTTAAAAAAGTCTTGTTTGATTTTTCAAGTCTTTTTTCTGAGTTCAGTTCTATGAGCTTTAAAAGAGAGGGTTACAAGAGTGAAAATTCACTACGCCCATGAATTTTTAACTACTCTGATTCTTATTTGTGTAAGCTTAAACAAGTATGAGTCTTCAGTGATGCTAAGTTCAAAGGCAGGGCCAATGCAGTCTGTGTAGTCCCCAGAGGTTCCTGGCTGGAGGCAGATGGATGCTTTTATTCTGAAGCTAAAAGGAAGCCAAGAAAAGAGAGAGCAATAAAGTCAAGAAGGAATGCATGGAGACACTCCCCTGACCCACTGTGCCAGCCCCTGAAGGTGGAGCAGGAAGGACTTCCATGATGGTGAAAACTGGAAACATATTGCCACCAAAAGACAGATGGGAACAAGGGACCTGACTACATCAAAGAAACCACCAGCTGTAAAACAGAAACAAGCCAACCAGGCGGGGCTTGGCATATAGAGGGCAGAGCAAGGGAAAGCTAGGGCCCACTCATTGCCACTAAGGTTGGGACTGGCATGCTGTGGCCACAGCGCTGCACCTGCTCTTCTATTGGGTGGAGGACAAGTGCTTCTTTTGTGTGCTTGGCTGAGGAGGGGCAAGCTGGATCCCAGAAAGAGCACCCGGCAAGCCGCACATTGCAGTTGTTAAACACCATGGGGCTTGCATCAGGCTCTACATGGTACCCAGAGGCTCCCCAGAGCTCCAAGGGCCACCTTCCTTCTTAACACATCATGGCTGCTTCTTCCTCCCCAAGCTCAATGCCTGCTAATCCCCTCCAGCTCACCTCCAGAGCAAACCACTTCCATGGAAAGCCTGCCTCTGTCTGTCTGTTTACTGGCCACCTGGTATGATGCAAAGTCTGAAGTAGGTGGCAATCCACAGAGGATTAAATCCCAGTGCTACTGCTTCTAGCAAGCAAGCATGAGAAATATTCCAGAACCTACCTGAGCCCTGAGTCCTCCAAATTAAATGAATTACACCCACCCCCACAAGCATGGAGCAGATGCAACACATAACAGGCCCGGCTCTTCTACGTCTCCCTACCTGATTACACCTACAATGTCCCAGTGCAATGGTGGGCACCGTTAAGATGCTGCCTGCTGAACGTGCCTCAGGACCACCTTCGTCCATCTCATGATTCCCCCATCACTCATAATGACCGCATTGGTAGCAGCTGACACGGCTGGCCTTCCCTTTCATACAGAATACCATGGCATCACCATAGCAACTCTCTGAAAACCACAGTCACTGCTGTTTAAATGAGAAATCCCCCATAGGCTCATGGCTTTGAACACCTCGTCCCCAGCTAGTGGTGCTGTTTGGGGAGATTCTGGGGTCTGGCTGGTAGAGGTGGGTCACTGAGGTGCACCTTGTAGAGTTATAGCCTAAGCCAGTTTCTAGTCCCATCCTTTGCTTTCTAATCCACCAGGAGTGAAGTGTCAGCACCGGGAACCCTGCTGCATTGGGTTCAGACTGCCAGCCCAAATGTGTCTGTACTTGTTTAAGTTGCCCCTGTCATGTATTTTGTCACAGAAAAATACCTAATATACACAACTGTGCCCATTTCACAGATAAAAACTGGCATCAATCATCTCACATCTGCATTAGTGAACTGAGACCAGGCAGGGGGACCCAGAGACAGCTCCTCGTTATAATGTCATACTACTTGCTTTGTGGAAGCCCAAAGAATTCTTCCTCCTTGCCATGAGTCTTACTTTCATTTCTGTTACTGTGGTAAAAATACCCAGAGATAAAGCACCTTTGGGGAGACAGGGTGTATTTTAGCTTACAGTCCCACATTATAGTCCATCATTTTGGGGAAGTTAAGAGAGGAACCTAAGGCACAATCACACCCACAATCAAAAGCAGAGAGAAATTAATGTGTGCTTAACATTCAGCAAGCTTTCTCTATTCTTCCACAGCCCAGGATCCAAAACTAGGCAACAGTACCACTCATAGTGGGCTGGGCTTTCCCACATCGATCAAGACAATCAAGCAAGCAAGCAAACAAGCAAGGCAACGCCTCCCCCACACACACACACAGAGAGAGAGAGATACTGGCCCATCCTCATCTAGACAATGTTTCACAAGACTCTTTCTGGATGATTCTACAGTATGTCAAGTTGACAATTAAAGCTAGGCATCTCATTGTGATTTGGGTCTTAGATATTTTCCAAAGGCCCATCCCTAACAGCATAGTTTCCAGTGTGACACTTGGGTAGGTGGCACAGTCTTTAAAAGGATGGGACCCAGGGGAAGGCCATTGGGGGCCACACCCTCAAAGGGACTTTGGTTCCTCCCCTACCACCTCTTTGCTTCCTAGCCGTCATGAGGCGGTTGTCTACCTCTGACACATGCTCTGGCCATATTGCCCTGCCTCATCATGTGCCCAGAAGCAATAGGCACAACCCACCATGAACTAAAACCTCCAAGCACTGCGAGCCCAGATAAACCTCTCTCTTTCTAAGGTGATTACCTCAGGCATTGGGCTCTAGTGGTGGAAGTTGACTGGTGCTCTTCTGTACCATCTCTTGAGATGAGGCTTTTCACAAAAGTACACGTGGCACCATGCCCTCAATGGTTTTTACACGGGATGAGAAAAGTGGACTTTTAATGTCATTTTCTTAACACCACTGGTAGCATCTGATGCCAGGCCCACCCCTGGGTACATTCCTCAGGGCTTGGCTTTTGCTTACCTGGACCCCGGGCTGAGCAATGAAATGCTGGTCTGTAGCCTCCACCCCCAGCTCCAGGCAGTTGCTCCCGCCCCAGGCTTCACAGGAGTAGACCAGCAGCTGCTCTGCCAAGTCTTCATCGTTGCTGTAACACTCAGTGAACAGCTCTGCATTGTCATGGAGGGGAGGGCTGGGCTCAGCTGGTAGACATGGAACCTGGCCTGCCTATCCCCCGTGAAAACCTGAACAGATGGGGCGTAAGGATCCAGGCATATAGAAGGCATAGAGAGAGCTGACCAAATGTGTTCCTTGCTACATAGATGATGCTTTCTTTAGACACAACATAGTCGGCAGGGCACTTTAATGAAGAGGGCATTGACACATGCTTATGGAACTGAGCTGCCTCCAACACCTAGGGACCCCACTCTCTGATGCAATTCTGTATGGACCTTTCTCTCTGGGAGGGACTTGGGATCCTCTACCCCTCCTTACCTAAAGCAGCCCCTCCCCTTCCGTTTCCCTCCCAAGCCTTCTGAGTGCCATATCTTGGCAAGCACTATGGAACACTCACCCACCGCTCTGGTCTCATACTCATTGGCCAGTTCCTCTGATTCCCCAGCAGCGTTGATGTCATTCTTGACTTTAGCCAGAGTCTTCAGAAGCTTGCTGGCCCCCAAGGCTGCCAGAGTACAACCTTTGGTCTTTTGGGAGGCAGGAATGGGGAAATGTTGGTTAATTCATAATCTCTGAAAGCAGTAACATCAACAGTAACTTTTGAAAAGTATAGACAAGCAGGAAATGGCAAAGTCAACCACTTAGTGCCATTCAAAGTCAGGTCTGTAATGAGCTTGGAACAGACTTGGACCTCAGCAAGCTACTCATGGTCTTGTAGGTGGAATCAGCATATTAAAAAAAAAAAAAAACCCTGGATAAATAGTGGGAGACATTAAGCCTCTGAAGGCAAGAGGCCTGGCTGACCCATTAGATCAATGTTATTGTACTGTAACAGGAAGGGGGATGAGAACTTTGAAGACTGAACCGTGTAACTGAAGGCTGTCTAAATTCAGCAGTCAAGGATTGAAGTGGAGACGGAAGCACTGGTGTAGAGATGAGAACTTTGAAGACCTGAGCCATGTAACTGAAGGCTGTGTCTAAATTCAGCAGTCAAGGATTGAAGTGGAGACGGAAGCACTGGTGTCCATATTAATAGAAAGAGTGATGTACCAAACCACAAAGAAAATTCGCAATAAACACTCCAAAGCAGAATTTTTATAGGCCTCGTTCTTGTTTCATAATGGAATAAAGCTAGAGACTATTGCTTTATTTTAATATTATTATTACTTAGTGCTGGGGATCAAACCTAAGGCCTTGTGCATGTGAGGTAAGGGCTTAGAAATTAATTTAAATTAAATTTCAAAGCATCTTACACTTGGGAAAAATTATGGACAGGCACCTGGGGAGCAGGGGTGTCCTGGAGGACCCCCTCCTTATTCCTTTCTGGGGAACCACCCATCCGAGGCACACCTCCAAGGACATGCAAACAGGCACAGCCATGGTCCTGTGCATCAGATGCCCCAAATTCTAAACTAGGCAAAAGAGTGTAGGTTAAACCAGACTCTTCTAACACAGCATGTCTTTGGCACCAATTCAGTGCGGGCCTGGACATTTACCTGCTCCCAAATGACCTTGGAGAGTTCCTTCTTGTTCTGAAGGATGGCCCAGATGAAGAGAGCTTGCAGGGGGTGCCGGGTGGTGAGAGATGCATCCTGAGAGGGGTCAGAACATCGGGTCACCACACGCAAATGTAACCCACTTTAGGTACACTATTCCAACAATGAAATGGGACAGTCAGAAAGCACGAGAAACAGGCCCTCTGTTTGGAGACCGTGGGGTGTGGGGCTGAGTCTGTTTTAGCAGCATTGTTCACTGCAGCTCAGCAGGTGGTGTGACTGACACAAAATCTTTCATCTAGCACAAAAGACAAAGTACAGCTGTATGAGAAAGTATAAAGGGGAAAAAAGCCCAGAGAGCAATTTAAAGACTAAATGACTTGTGATGCTCCATGGAGAAAGCAATTCTTCTCCATTCTACAGAATCAGTTTCTCAGCTAGAGGGGGGAAAAGTGGTCAGACTAAATCTAACTTTCCCAAGGCTTACATCCAATTGTCACCACGGGAAAAAAAATGTGCTTATTTCTTCGGACGGTTACTCAAAGATTGGAGGTCTAGCTCATATTTAAGATTCTATATCTTCCCAGAAATATTTTCAGATGGAAAGTGGCTGTGTGTGTCCCCCTTCAGCACCCCTGTTGGTTGACTAAACTGTAAACTGCATGTATGAGGCTCAGATATGTGCCATGTTTAAAAAATTTTAACGTAAATAATGTCAAACAGAATATCTACACTTTAATTCAACCACACACTGAGCTGTGTGTGTCCCCCTTCAGCTCCCCTGTTGGTTGACTAAACTGTAAACTGTATGTATGAGGCTCAGATATGTGCCATGTTTAAAAAAATTTAACATAAATAATGTCAAACAGAATATCTACACTTTAATTCAACCACACACTGAGCTCATCTTCTCTCCTCTCTCTCTCTCTTTCTCTCTCTCTCTCTCTCTCTCTT